ACTGGAGTCGGTGCAGCGAAGAATGACGAAAATGATACCGGGACTTAGAAACCTTCCATATCAGGATAGGTTAAAGAAACTAATGACAGCCGATGCCCTGAACATGCTTCTGCATTATAGCGTATTTGAGCTTTTAGTACTTATTGAACCTCGGCTATATCCGTGTTAGCTTCCCGATATATAAATAATTGTATTGAGCGACTATATTGGTTTTTTTATCGCTTATACGGTGAAAAATATCCAAAATTTGGTCATTTATGATTGAAAATGAATGATGAAGACGGAATATCAGGCGTGGTTGGATGTGCACGAAGGGGTGATCAGAAGAGTGAATACCGGAGATGGAGAGGGGGGAAGAAGTGGAGAAAAGAGTAGAGAGAAAGATCATGGGAGAGGGGAAGAAGGATGAGGAACAGGAAGATGAGAAGAAATAGGAGGAGGAACGGGGGGAAGAGGAAGTAGAAAGTGAGAGAAAGGAGGAGGAGGATGTCGGAAAAAGTGAAAAGCAGCAACCGGAAGAGAAGGAAGGAAAAACTGATCAAGGTCTATCGTAGATGTAGCAATTTCTCAGCCAGACTCCAGGTCGCAGCCCAATGTGAGGCATGTCAGCACTACATCACTCTTTTGTAGTATTGGGAAACTGCACAAAGTTCCCGGGACTTAGGAACCTTCCATATCAAGATAGGTTAAAGAAACTAAACTTGCATTCCCTAGAAAGACGAAGAGTGCAGGGAGATATGATAGAAGTATTTAAGTGGGTGAAAGGAATCAATAAAGGGGATATAGATAAAGTTCTTATAATATCCGAGCAGGATAGGACTCGGAGCAACGGATTTAAGTAGGATAAGTTTAGGTTTAGGAGGGAGATAGGAAGGAACTAGTTCACAAATAGGGTGGTGGACGAGTGGAACAAGCTTAGCAACTTTGTAGTAAGTGCTGGAACGCTGGAAAGTTATAAAAGGAGGCTACATAGATTCATGGATGATAGAGAGTGGTAGGAACTCTCGACAGGAGAATATTTTATCTATCTTAAACACTAAAGAATAAATATCTAAGGACATACATGCTATGGTCAACCCCACGGTAACCAAGGTTGAGGTTTATAATTGTGCGCAGTATCAAAGATTGACCTCGTACTGTAACCAATTGTGTTTCTCTTACGTACATATGTGACTTATTATAAGCCTGTGATATTCTTTTGTTTTTGGATAGGTGTAATGAATGGTAGTGACTGGTGTTTCGCTTTTCAGTTGGTGTGAAGTGTGATCGTTGTGGTACATTGAACCACGCACACCACTTAGTATGTTTATAATGCCGTTACCAAGGCTTTCTGTGCGTGTGTGCTTGCATCTGGGAGGCGTGTGCGTATGTATGTGTTAAGGAGACGTCCATATGCGTGTGAATGTTTTAATGGGATACGGCTGGCTGTGTGTGTGTGTGTACGAGTATGTGGTGGGGTGGAGTCGGTGTGTGCATGTGTGTAGGTTGCTATGTATACCCAAATGGTGTAGTAGGTGTTAGTAGTCGGTTAACCGCAGCGCAAAGTCCAGGGAACGGTGCACGTACCATAGTGTAGCAGTGTTGAGTGTAGTGAAGTATGGCTTGGTGAATAATGTTGGTCAGGATATTGTATTGAAAGTCTTGAATAGTGTAGGCTGTTGTATTGAACGTGTAGCACTATGTGGTGGTGGCGGCGGCACTGAAGCATATACAAGGCATATATTTGTTTACTTATTGGCTCGCTTCCTTACATGTTGTTACCTTGTGTCATGATGTGTTCGTAGGCAAAGTGTGTGTGTGTGTGTGTGTGTGTACGCTCCAGGTAGCAGTGGTGAGCATGCATGATGGGTGATGACGGTGTGGTGTGGTTTATGGTGATGGCCGTGGTGTAGGTGCTTGAGGCTCTGTTATGTGAAGCGAAAGGTGTTAGTCAGATGGAATCGTTTGACGCTGTGCCATGTATGCACAGTAGGAGGAACACTCTAGCAGAAGTGAGAGATTTATGAGATTTTGGTAGTGTGACGTTTCTATTTTGGTAAAGTGAGTCGTTGATTTAGGTTAGTTTAATAATTGGTATAGATACTGTGTAGTTTAATTTGCTTGGATGGTTGTGAAGGTGTACAGTCACTTGTTTGGATGGTCATGTATGTATACGAGTATAGTTAACTTACTTGGATGTTCGTGTAGGTATTATAGTTAACTTGTTTGGATGGTCGTATAGGTAGTAAACTTAAATTTGGATGATCGTTCAGGTTAACTTAATCTGAATCGTCGTTTAGGTAGCTAACTTAGTTTCAATTGTCGTTTAGGTAGTTTGGATGGTCGTAGGAAGTAGTTAAGGATCACTGAACTACCTATGGTAAATATGGGCATCTTGTTTATAATTTAGGTTATATTTAGTGCAGGTGGGTGGTGGGGGGGTCTTTCAAGCAGGTTAGGGTTCATGGATGGTGTAGCAACTGGTTAGAAGTTGATGGTGTAACAGCTGGTTGTAGACTGAGAGAAGACAGTTTTTGAGATGAATAAATTGGCGTTGGATAGTTGGCAGGGAGGAGTGTGGTGGGTGGTGGTGGCGGCAGGGAGGAGTGTGGTGGGTGGTGGTGGTGGTAGTTGGGAGGAGTGTGGTGGGTGGTGATGGTAGGGAGGAGTGTGGTGGGTGGTGGTGATGGTAGGGAGGAGTGTGGTGGGTGGTGGTGATGGTAGGGAGGAGTGTGGTGGGTGGTGGTGGTAGTAGGGAGGAGTGTGGTGCTGGTAGGGAGGAGCATCATGCGTGGTGGTGGCAGGGATGGAGGCTTTGTTGTCTCGCCTCACTCCCTGGTGTTGGGAAGGGTGTCGGCCACCAAGTACAGTAAGTGGTTTAATGTGAGAAAAACGACTCTTACTTAGTAGAACTGTTGCACCTAATTTACCTTACTTTTGATGACAGTTTTAATTTTCATTAACTAAAAGTACAAATCTAAGTTAATAAGCTGTATCTAATCTTGTAGTGATTTTTTTATAATATGACAGCTGGACAGGGAGACATGTACAGTCACACATAAAAGAACACCCCCGAGTCCACAACTTTTCTAACTCATGGCAGTTCAGATCTGATAGCAGTGTCCAGCACCTGATGTAGAGGGTTGGGGGGTGGTAGATCACGTTGTGCACGAACCACGGCCTCTGTTCATGTTTCGTTTCATGCACAACTAAGTCATTATATTCTAAACTTCTAATAACATTACTAAATAACCATGTAATATTACAACCCTATATTCATATAGGTTGAGCAGTTCCACAACAATTTAAATAATGAGTTACTTAATGCACAAAGGCAGAACATACCATACAGAAAACTCAGTTCAAACCACAATGACCCTAAATCGATAAATAATTATTTAAAGAACATTATTGGACAAAGGAAGGCGAATAAATCGTGGTGAAGTTTACCTCCGAGATTATTACAAGGTATTGGCCGGTAGGGTTAAGACCGAAATAAGAAAAGCAAAGAGGAATACTGAACTGAAGATAGCAAGGGAAGCGAAGTCAAACTCCAAGGGATTCTGTCAAATGTATCAAGCTAGAACACGAGAAAAGATTTGACCAATACAGTCAGATACCGGCTAGCTAACTGATAACGACGGAGAAATGAGCAATAATCTGAATAAATATTTTTCAACAGTTTTTACCACCGAAAATTTAAACATGATACCCGAGACACCGACTTTATACAGAGATGAAGAAATAAATTAAGCGAGATAGTAGTAACTAGTAACTAAAGCCTATTAAGTCGCCAGGTCCCGATGAAATATTTGCCAAAGTATTAAAGGAATGTATGGAAGAGCTTAGTATGCCCTTAGCAAAGTTGTTTAACATGCTTAAAAACGGGTGCAGTACCAGAATCCTGGAGGATAGCAAAAGTAATACCGATTTTCAAGAACGGAGATAGATCACTATCCTCTAACTACCGTCCAATCAGTCTAACATCAATTGTAGGCAAATTATTGGAAGCAATCATTTCAAACTCTATTCGAAATCACCTGGAGAAGCATAAGTTGATCAATGATTCCAAATATGGCTTCACAAGTGGGCGTTCATGTCTAGCTAATCTATTAACATTCTTTTCATCTGTTTTCGAATCAGTGGACGAGGGGCACAATTATGGTGTGGTATATCTCGACTTTAGCAAAGCCTTCGACATCATCTTTAACTAGAATATGCTGGATAGCTTCAAACATAGGTTGGATGGATATATGAGCAATAGGGGTTCGGTGTAAATGGGACTGCCCAGTATGGGCCAATAGGCCCGCTGCAGTTTCCTCCATTCTTATGTTCTTATTCATCGCATCGTACCGATATCCAAACTAAGCTTATTAATGGGCCTAGAGTGAGGGCGTTAAATCATTAAGTAATGTAAGCTATGGGTGTTAGTCTTCATATGCCCCCTTAGTGTATAGTAAGTCCTTGATCGATAACGATAAGCAATATAAAAACTTGGTTTGTTAAATATTGAACGATCCAAATAAATCTGCACTACATTAAGATAAGATGTCACCGTAGACACTGAGGACGACCACTGCTGCTGGCCGCTCACGTCTGCTGTCAAACCTTGTATGTGTTCACATCCGTCTCCCGGTCGACACGCATTACTGCACCGCCTGGCCAGTAACACGTGAAGGGACATCCTGCTGCCTCTATCGCTATTGTTGGACGATACATTGCTTCTATCGCTATTGTTGGACGATATATTGCCTCTCGCTACTGTTGGGCGATATACTGCCTCTATCGCTACTGTTGGGCGATATGTTGCCTCTATATCACCTCTGTTGGACGATATACTACTGCCTCTACTTGGAGACAGACGAGGGGGTATTAGGAGGTGGGGAAAGAGGTGGAGGTGACCGGTCAGTGTTTTAATACAATTGTGGGAGGTGTACCCTGTATTCGTGTGCACTGAGGGAAGAGTGCGTGTGTGTACAAGTTTGTGACTTCAACATAATGACGACTTTGTTTGTTTACAGGGGAGTGGGCCAATGTGGGAGGATTTCCTCAGTCGCGCCAGCAAGCTTCACCACGCCCTCAAGTGAGTACCTGTTTCCCTTCTCTCTTTCTCCCCTCTTAGGTGAAGTAACTCGCCATGTACTGGTACACCTACCCGGTACCCTCAGCAGACAACACCTACCCGGTACCCTCAGCAGACAACACCTACCCGGTACCCTCAGCAGACAACACCTACCCGGTACCCTCAGCAGACAACACCTACCCGGTACCCTCAGCAGACAACACCTATCCAGTACCCTCAGCAGACAACACCTACCCGGTACCCTCAGCAGACAACACCTACCCGGTACCCTCAGCAGACAACACCTACCCAGTACCCTCAGCAGACAACACCTACCCAGTACCCTCAGCAGACAACACTTATCCAATACCTTCAGCATACATCTATCCAGTATCTTCAGCAGACATCTACATAGTACCTTCAGCAGAAAACACCTACCCAGTACCTTCAGCAGAAAACACCTACCCAGTACCCTCAGCAGACAACGCCTACCCAGTACCCTCAGCAGACAACGCCTACCCAGTACCCTCGGCAGACAAAACCTATCTGCTTATACCTTCAGCAAACAACACCTGTCAGTACCTTCAGCAGACAACACCTACCCGGTACCTTCAGCAGACAACACCTACCCAGTACCTTCAGCACCTAGCCTAACTTGTCCTGCTCTTACGGTAGTTAATTGAACCTGAACTAACCTAACACTAACCTAAGCTCATTCAGGTAGCGCCAGGCTGTGTATTCATCAGGTGATCTGTGAAAACGAAAGGAAATCATAAAACAAGTCTTCATGAGAATTTCTTGAATTTATAAAAAAAAATTTTATTGGAAGTATTTGTGCATTTATGGTGTAAGTTGTTGAAAGTGAAGGAGGTTGTGATTTGGGGCTATCACAGCTGTTGTTGTGTTGGTGGGAATAGGTAGTGGTATGTATGTGTGACGGAAGTGTTTATCTTTAACACAGTCCGTCACTCGCACTACTATCACCACCGCCACCCACAACATGTCCTTAACTCGAGCTGGTGACGTTAATGTAATGTCCCTCCACTCTCTCGTCCCTCTTTTCCATTTCCCTCCCTCTCGTCCCTCCACTTCCCTCCCTCTCGTCCCTCCACTTCCCTCCCTCTCTTCCCTCCCTATCTTCCCTCCCTCTCTTCCCTCCACTTCCCTCCCTCACTTCCCTCCACTTTCTTCCCTCCACCTATCCCTCTCTCGTCCTTCCACTTGCCTCCAGCATTCCCCTGACTCGCTTTCACCACGGGGAGCGAACTTTTGTCGTCGACTGTACCTTATGTGGATTATTTTTTTCGGATCACCTGAAGAATCTTCAGCGCTGCCTATTTCATGTGAAGAATAACCTTTTCCTTGCACTAACCTAACATACCTTCGTCTTCCCAACTACTTTTAGGGTGGTTAATCTTTAGGTGAAACAAGCCGGGCTTTAGAATCTTTTGGTGGGCCAATTCTTCAAACTTAAGTCGAAACATGTCTGGTGACGCGCGGCGCGGTGGTGAGGCCTGTACTGTACTGTACCGTACCGTACCGTACCGTACCTGTGTGTGTGCCTATTTATAGTTAGTTGATCCTGAAGGTGGACCAGTCCGGGTGCTGCCGTGGTTAGACGGGTCTAGAGTGGTTCTGCAGGTGGTGGTGATGGTACAGTGGTGCTGATGGTACAGTGGTGGTGATGGTACAGTGGTGCTGATGGTACAGTGGTGGTGGTGATGGTACAGTAATGGTGATGGTATAATGGTTGTTGTGGTGATGATACATTGGTGGTGGTGGTACAGTGGTGGTGGTTGTGTTGATGGTACAGTGTTGGTGGTATTGTTGCAGTGGTGATGGTATAATGGTTGTTGTGGTGATGATACATTAGTGGTGGTGGTACAGTAGTGTGGTGGTGGTGGTGATGGTACGGTGATGGTGGTGATGGTACAGTGGTGGTGGTGTTGGTACAGTGGTGGTGGTAGTAATGGTACAGTGGTGGTGGTTGTGTTGATGGTACAGTGGTGATGGTAATGTTACAGTGGTGATGGTAATGTTGCAGTGGTGATGGTACAGTGATTGTATAATGGTTGTTGTGGTGATGGTACAGTAGTGGTGGTGGTGATGGTTCGGTGGTGGTGATGGTACGGTGGTGGTGGTACAGTGGTGATGGTGGTACAGTGGTGGTGATGGTACAGTGATGATGGTGCAGTGATGATGGTGCAGTGATGATGGTACAGTGGTGGTGGTGGTGCAGTGATGATGGTACAGTGGTGGTGCAGTTATGGTGGTTGTGGTACGGTGGTGTTGGTAGTACAGTGGTGGTGGTGATGGTGCAGTGGTGGTGGTATAATGGTAGTGATAGTGGTTTAGTGCAGACCTAAGCAGAGAGAAGGGCAGACGACATCTCAACCAGGCTGCCACGTAACTTTGGGTCTGCTGCTTCTGTTCGGATAACAAACACCTCGGCCAGTTTCTTGCACTTGGTCCCATACCGCCAGAGGTTGTGAACACCAAAGGAGTGAAGCTGCTTTGATCGACATTTTTAATTCTCTTTCCATACTCCCTGTACTTGTCGTTCTCGTTCCTCTTAGGTGCAGCATCGAGAGCTAGGCTACGGTGTCATGCGGCCATGGGGTCGAAAATCTTTGTCAAAGAAGGTTCGCTGTCCTCGTGTCCAGAGTCCTCGAACACTTACGTTAACATGGGCTTCGTTGGATGTGTTTGGAGTTTTGTGATGGAGATTTCACCGTCCAATGGAAATAGGGTCAGTTCCACCGTGACGTCATGGCGGATTTCCTTTAACGTGTTTGCTGTGAGATCCGTTCCTTCGTCATGCCTCCTGCACACGAAGCCCCCTTTCTTGCGCGCCACTACCATCATCCCCACTACTACCACACCACATCACCACCACATCATCACTACCACCAGTACAACACACCAAGTCATTATATCCAAAGGGGATAAACAGGGTAGTTCCAAGTAGCGCCATGGTCAGGTAAGGGTGTGTGGGGCCACCTACTAGGATACCCTTCTTGTTACTGGGCCACCTTTACTATACTACCAGTGTAGGGAGTTAACACGCTACACTCACACAGGGTGGAGATGGGGTGGGGGAGGAAATATTGAAGTGGATGTTGTAGGGGTCGACGAAGAGGGTGATGTAGGGGTCGATGAAGGGGGTTTTGTAGGGGTCGACGATAGGGGAGCTGTAGTAACCCATGACCACCGTAGTCCACGCGAGGAGTGAAGGTAATATATGGATACATGAAGAATTAACAGTATTTGAAAAGGATTACCGGAAGATTAGGCCTTCAGCATATTTCACAGTGAGGTTTACTAACCACCTTACCGCTAACTTAACGCTTAGGTTACTTAACTTAATGTAATGTAATCTAATTTATTGAAACCTAACCTAACCTAATCTAACGCTAATCAAAACTAACATAACAATTTTAATATAACGTAACCTCTTAACCTAATTACAAGGTAACGTTAGGGTTTTTATTCATCAGATGAAATAAGCTGGGGTTCCTAATCATCAGGTGATCCTTAGAAATATAAGTTGTTTTTGTATTTTAGCATTTTCGTTATCTTAAATAACATTTGGTGATGGAGCGTGGTCACTGACCTTTAGGGTGGCGCGGCGGCGAGCGAGTGAAAGGCTGAGTATACTGCAAATACTCCATATTGTTTTTTCACTCTAGCTCTTGTTATTTACAGGATAATAAGTTAATAACATAAATAGGTCATATACAATGTAACTGTTGCTATATTGGTAATTATTATGTCAGGTTGGGAATCCATCTTGCTACGTGACAGTTTTTCTATCAAATTAAGTCATTATTAACTTACCCGTTACGCCGACGATTCACCCTGGGGCAGGTATATCATGCGTGGTCGGGAGCTCGGGTCAACACTATTTTCTACGACTTCGGTTTAGGTTCCACGTGTGTTGTTTATGAATTAACCGAGCCTAATATTTTTTTTTTATATTGATGCGGAGGAACGTAGCAGTTTCACGCTGTGGCGGAGTCTGTTTTTTCCCGCGAGAAGCGTACAAATTTTACGGTACCAGTTGATTAGATTAATCTAAGAAGTGATTGTTGAAGGTGGCCGGGAATAACCAGGGGAAGACATTTCGACGTTCGTAAAGTTATTATTTACGCAGTAATAGTTAGGGGTAGAACCGTAAACGCGCGTGTAGATGCCCTGTTCTCCGGCGAGTGACCATGAAGACGGTGTGATCGTCAGCCGTGGCAGTAAAACACCTAAAGAGAGAGAGTAGGGTGTAATAGCGTGTGGGCGGCCGTGGAGGGGAAAGGTAGTGACTTAAAGGAAGGATCAACATCAAGGAGCCTACAGTCGTGTTGTTGGTATCAGGAAAATGTTAAAATTTTGTGGTATTTGAATGTCTGGAATTTCCGGGTAACAGTCATACCAACGGCTTAACCTCGCTTGCTGATAATTATTCTTTATTCCAGCATTTATTCCCTTCATTGTGAGGTTGGTTAGATATATGACTGTACTTAACGTAGATTGTGTAATTAAAGTCTCTAGTGGACTCCCCAAGAGGTATAAATATTTTATATCAGGGAGAGAGTGGGCACCACAGTTTATTTCACCTAGGTTTAACCCACCATAATGTTAGTCTAGGTTAGCGTTAGGTTGGTTAACTCCAGGTGCACAGGCAGGCGGGTTCAATCCCACCTCCCCCTCAGCCACACCCTCACCCCCGCCTACCCCCACCTCACTCCCCGCCACCACCCTCACCCCCGCCACCACCCCTCATACCTCCCCGCCACCCTCACCCCGCCACCACACCCTCACCCCCGCCACCACCCCTCACCCCCGCCACCACCCTCACTCCCGCCACCACCCTCACCCCGCCACCACCACCCCTCACCCCCGCCACCACCCCTCACCCCCTGCCACCACCCCTTACCCCCGCCACCACCCCCTCACCCCCGCCACCACCCCCTCACTCCCCCGCCACCACCTCCCTCACCCCCGCCACCACCCCTCACCCCCGCCACCAC